TGCCTCGTCAGATTTTTTCTCTTCTCTCTACAATACTCTCAAGGGGACACCATCTAGTCCCGTGATTTAAAATACTATCTATGCTCTGATGACTCCAAAATATACATCCATACCTCAACTCCTCCAACTGCCTGCTCATCATATCCATTTAATGTCCACCAGGCATTTCGAATGTAATTGCTCAGACACACACGTCCTCCCCTCTCCTCACCTACACCTCCGCTGCTATTCCTCCGCTAGTCTCCTCCAGCTCAGGATATGGTAACTCCCTCATTCCAGTTTCTCAGGCCAAAGATCTGAGTTCTGCTTCACTCCGCTCTTTTTCTCAGATGCCTCTTCTGAGTCCATCAATAAACGCCTCTGGCTCTCCCTGGAGACTATACCCCAAGCCTACTCTTCTGCCCATCTGCCCAGTATGGCTCTGCTGAGAACCTCCGTCATCTCTTGCCTCAACAACGCACCAGCCTGACGGCTTCCATCCCTACTGCTCTGCAGTCCGTTCCACAAGGCAGCCAGAGTGACCCTGTTGTAAGGCAAGTAAGGCCATGTCACTCCTTTGCTCAAACCCTCTGTTGACCTCCCATTTCACTTAGAGTGAAAGCTGACAGGGACCCACAAGTCCTAAAACTTGGGTTTCTTTTCCTCTGACATCATCCCTACCAATCTTTACCACTCTCTCCTCCAGTCACATTGGCCTTCATGCTGTTCCTCTGGTACACCTGCCATGGAGCGACCTCAGGACCTTTGCATCCACACTCCTGTCTTCTCTCACCCACTTCAGGCCCCTCCCTAATTGTCACCCACTCAGAGAGGTCTTTCTTGACTACCTTCTACATAATCACATCACATTTCTCTCTGGTTCCTCACCTAGCCTCAAATGTCTTCACCACACACTATACGAGGTATCCAAAAAGTCCCTAAAGTTGCCACCCTTAGGGAAAAGGGAAAATTATAACTAAATGCACCCTTATTGACAAAATATTCATTATAACATTTTACAAAACATTTATTAAATATCCTCTGTGTTGGCCTCTGTAAATAAAGGTGCATTTAGCTACAATTTCCCTTTTTTCCTATGTGTGGTGACTTTCAGGGCAACTTCTGGGATTCCCTGTACTACACAGTCATTGATTTGTTTATGGCCCATCTACACCAAAATCCCTTGAAGGCTGAGACATTGTTACATTTGTTTACTGTCCAAGCCAGTGTCCAAAACAGGGCCTGGCACATAGTAGGAATGAGGAAACATTTGTTGAAGAAACCCTTGAAGTCGGAATAATTCATGTTAAGACAATTCAAGGTTTTCATATATTATCCATAGATATCAGTATACTCATTGAATGTATTACTCCCATCCTAAGACACAGTAAAGAACAATATTGTATATTTCAGAATAAGGCCACACATAACGTCTCACGTATGTAATCCCAGCACTTTGAGAGACCACAGTGAGAGGATCACAGGAGGCCAGGAATTTGAGACCAGCTGGGGCAACATAGCAAGATTTCTATCAAAAAAAAAAGTCTTAAAAACTATCCAGGTATGGTAGCACATGCCTGTAGTCCTTAGCTACACAGGAGTCTAAGATGGGAGGATCACTTGAGCCCAGGAGTTTGAAGTAGCAGTAGCAGTGATTGTATGTGAGAGAGCAAGACTCTGTCTCTAAAAAATAAAAAATAAAATTTCCGAATAAGACTAAAGTAATGTCATCTGATCGATATGTGATTGGTTACAGGCATTCATGGAAACCTTCCTAACCATTAAAAATGACATGAAAGCAACAGTCCAGGCCCTTCCATAGGGTCCTCCCAGCACAGCTATCCCTGGTAAACTCCTCTCTTCCGGAATCATTTAAGTGCTTTAAGACCTTGCTACAATACTATTTGAGATGAAAAATAAAACTAATGGGTAGTAGAGACAGACATTGACTTTCTTGGATTTTCACTGACCATCTGGGTTTTATTTAACTTTATTCTTTTTTTTTTTTTTTTTTGGCCAGGTCTGGGTTTGAACCCACCACCTCCAGCATATGGGGCCGGCGCCCTACTCCTTTGAGCCACAGGTGCTGCCCTTAACTTTATTCTTGATAATAAAAGGACTATGTTAAATGCATTACTAAATGTAACAAATCAAAACAAAATCTAAGTCTAAAAAGGCCTTATTTTTGACTGGAAGAAGATTATCTTACCAAGACAACAATCCCAGAAAGTGGATTAGAAAATTGAGATCCCATTTATGTTTCTATTTTGAAAGATAATTAACTTATTAAGATTCTAAAATTCAAGCCTTTCATGGAGCAAATATTACTTGCAGTTGTTCATTTTTTTCCCCACATAAACAAGACAGAAGGCTACCAAAAAGAGAATGGAAGAACACCTTACTCTTATTAAAACAGGCTAGTCATTATATAACCCCTCTCAGGAAAACTAAACAGGCAATCAGCAAAACATCAATAAACTAAAATTTCCTTTGTCAACATCTGTTCATAACACTCTCAAAATGCCACAAAACGCTGAAGTGAGAGCTTCCAGTTATTTCTCAGTTTAAGAGACCATGTGACATAAGGAAACAGTCTATTTCAAGTCAGTTCTCCAGCAAAACCTAAGCCAGGTGGTTGGAATGACTCTTAGACACAGCAAACAGGTACTAGTATTGACATTTCTAACTTGAGAAAAGGAAATTCTACACCAGGTTAGTCACTACATGGAATGAATAGAGCTGATGGGGCAGGACCCTTATATCCAGGAGCAGCAACCTTCCCCAAGAAAGATACATGAGTAAAGATAAAAATAGTTAGGGATGTCAGCCCAAAGAAACTTGCAGAACTTTGCAATTGTTACAAAATTTCATTTGTAACCTATTACTCTTAATAGGATGACAGCAGAAAATAACTTTAATTTCACTAATAGCGAACATTTATTAAGTACATTCATATGTGCTGGGCACTATATGTCAAGTTGTTCAATAAAACCACTTAATAGGCTTGGTGTCCATAGCCCAGTGAGTAGGGCACCGGCCACATACACCAGAGCTGGCTGGCAGGTTTAAGCCCGGCCCGGGCCTGCTAAACAACAATGACAACTGCAACCAAAATATAGCCGGGCGTTGTGGTGGATGCCTATAGACCCAGCTACTCAAGAAGCTGAGGCAAGAGAACCGCTTGAGCCCAAGAATTTGAGGTTGTTGTGAGCTGCGACACCATGGGACTCTATTGAGGGCCACATAGTGAGACTCTGTCTCAAAAAAAAAAAAAAGAAAAGAAAAGAAAAACGAAAACAAAAACAAAAAGTCTCACTTAGGGATGTAACAACAACTCATATAATACAAACTCATCTGCACAGCACTCAGTGGATCAGCAACCTTGCCTCTCTGTAATGAGGCCAAGAACCAAGAAAAAAACAAAAACAGACCTCATCATAATCAGGTACAAGCCTTCCAGGATTCACATTGTTGAGAAGCCCCCTCTCAGAAGAAACTGGAGAAACTGCACTTAACCAGAACTGGAAAGATAAGGTGGGGCAGACTTAAGAACTGAAGCAGGACATCCTAAGGAGGGTCATTTTGCTGTCCTCCGTATTTCATAGTAACCTGATAGCACAGTGTAATATAAATAATAATTCCTTTCAGGTGAGTATCCTGGTGTGTTCACTGTAGTGCCCCCAGTAGGGAACACAGCTGTTAAAGATGCCTGTATCATCATTAATAGCCACAGACGAGAACAAATGACATGTAACATTCTAAGAGGAGAAGAGGGAGAAAAACACACTGGCAAAGATCTTCATCTGTGGTTACCATTCAAATAAATGAATGGAAAATAAATAACCTCCCTTTGAAACACGTGTCGCTCTCACCACTTCCATACCTGTTTTTCTCTTGGGGACTTCCCACGGGTTGAAAGCAGATAGGTAAAAGATGCAGAGGGACCCTGGTCGACACTGCTCTAACTTCACACAAGTGTTAAATCATACAAAGTCAGTTCCTTCTCAAAAGGCACTGCTCTGGTTGCCAAGTAGCTGAGGCTCTGTGGCACATAAGCTTGGGGCTAACGGGTGTCACGGAAGGGCCCCTCTGCTCTCTCTTTTAAGTTGAAAGTGGCTTTGTACACAGTATGAAAGAGAACAGAAGTTCCGAATCGCGTTCAACATCCTTCTGTACAAAAACTTTCCGACAGAGCCGGTAAACTACTTTCTCACTGACTGGCGACTTCGGAGCTGACTTTAGGGTGACACACAACCTTCCAGAGTCGCTGTTATAAATACATAAACCCTCAAAGAGGCAGCTCCAGGCAACGTGCACCACAGCACCTGAGCACAGCGTTGAACGCAGGAAAGCGGAATCTCTAGCGAAACTTCTCATTTCCTGTCCCCGCCGAGAGAAGCTGGACTCACTGCTTCTCACATAGTTTAAGAAGCTCTGTAAACACAACTATCTCCCTTGCGGGCTGGCCACGAGCGCAGGGGGTGAGGGGCCTTCAAGGGCAGCCTCTGGGTGCTGCTCCCTTTCCTCCCTTTGACCAGTGTCATTCCCGTAAAGATAACGGGACCGACCGCCCTCCACTTCCTAGAGCCCTCGTTTATGTCATGGTTCCTCTTTCATGGGGACAAAGGCAAACCAAAAGAGCAGACTCAAGGCAAAGTCAACAACACCCCGTTTCATTCCTCCTCATCGGCACTATAGAAGAGCCAGATCAATTTCCCTTTGTCGCCCTAGATACACACACGCGCAGAGCAGGTCAAGGGTACCCTAAGCCAACTTATTTTTTCCCGCCTCCCAGAAAGCCTTAACAATCCTCACACCACCTCTGAAGGCAAGGCTTTAGCGTTAAGAGCTAAATCATCTCAAGCCAACGTAGGAAAAGCCCAAGAGGTCCCACCGCCGAAGGCTAGCAGGCAGGGCAAGCTGCGCGCACCTAGATGTTTGCATTTACACAAAGAAATTAGCCGCACGATTAATGGGAGACGCCGGCTGGAGGCGGGGGCGCCCCGCGCCGCCTTCCTCACCTGGGACATCTGCGGCCTCAGGTTGATCTCCTTGAGGTTGATGGAGTGCGCCCGGAGGTTGTTGAGCAGCTGGCAGAGCAGGACTCCATCTCGGAGGGTCTGCGCCAGGTCGAACACCTGCGCCGAGTCCCAGGTCACCCGGTGGTTGGCGGGCAGCACCTTGCAGTGGATGAGCCACTGCGCGCACTGCTTCCACGGCTCC